TGGGGGGCGGGGAGAGCTGGGTGTGCTATGGGGGGTTTGGAGGGGTTCCTAGGGGAGTTGGGGAGTTTCTATGGGAACTGAAGAGTATCACTATGGGGTTTGGGGGACTCCTATGGGGTGGAGGGGCCCTATAAGGTTTGGGGGGGTTCCTGTGGCATTGGAGGGGTCACTATGGGATTTGGGAGGGTCCCTATGAGGTTGGGGATGTAAGTGCTGGCAGTTCTGGGGGTCCTGGGATACCCCTGATCCAAGCGGAGTGCCTCCATTGGAGGACTGGAGGGGTCTCTGGGGGTCCCTGCCCCTCCCAGACACCCCCTTCTTTCCTCCTAGGGTCGCTGGTGGGAATGAGGGGGACCTATGGGTGGGGCTATGGGCTTGAAGGAGGTTCTGTGGGATAGGGTGGCCCTGCAGGGTACCCTTGGTTCAATGGAGGGGGGTGCCTTGGGGGGCTGGGGTGTCTGTGGGGGTCCCTGACCCCTCTGCCTACTCCAGGGTCGCTGGTGTCGCATGGAGGCCAGGACCTGGCGCTGGGGGGCCCATGCCCTGGCTGGCGGCAGCAGCGGGGAGCAGCCCGGGGGGCGCTGGCACGGGCTGGGACACAGCTCGGGCCCCTCCTTTGGCTGCAGGGCCAGGAGTTGTGTGAGGTGGGACCCCAAAACTGACACCCCTAAAACTGACCCTGCCCCAGAAGTAACCCCCCTGAATCTGAGCCCCCCGAAAAGCTGAGCCTCCCCGAAAGTGATACTCCCATGCATCCAAAACCAGATCCCCATGCAAAACTGACCAGCAAAACCCCGCCCAAAACTGATACCTTAAACCCCACTCGCTGCACCCAAACCCCACCCATGCATGGTAACCATGCCTCCTGCACCTGAAAACTGACCCCAAACTCAGCTGCCTGCACCCAACCTCCATGCTCTGTGCCCCAATTCCCCCGAGAGCCCCCCACTCCTCCCCTGGAACCCCCCAAGCCACCCTTAGAGCCCACCAATACCCTCCTGGGACACCTCAAATCCCTGTTATAGCTCCCCAGTAACCCTCCTGGAGCACCCGCAATTCCCCCAAGGACCTCCCCTGACCCCCGCTTTCCCTCAGGAGCTGCGTTCCCATGGGGGAGCCCCCCTGGACCCTTTTGAGGTGTTCACGTTCCACACCTGCAGCACCATCGCACGCCTCCTCTTCGGGGACCTGGTGGGGACTGTGGGTCTCTGGGATGGGGGCAGGGTTTGGGGGAGACCCGGGTTTTCATGGGGGCCCAGGGGTTTGGAGGGAACCCTGGAGTACCCAGGTGTTTGAGGGGCCCAGAGGTTCAGGGGGGCCAAGGGGTTTGGGGAGGTCCAGAAGTTTGTGAAGGGGACACCCAGGTGTTTGGGGGGGGGGGGCTGGAAGGAGTTTGGGGGCACCAGAAGTTTGAGGGGACCCAAGTGTCTGGAGCTATGTTTGGGGTGTTCTGGGGGGATCCAGGGTGAAGCCAGGGGTAGTGAGGAGTACCCAGGTGTGTCCTCTCCCAGGTGCCCCCCCCAGGGGAACTCCGGGCCTTCTCCTGCTGTCTGGGGGAGCTGCTGCAGGTTTGGGGGCGCAGCACTGTGCGGGCTCTTGATCTGCTGCCCCCGCTGCGGGTGAGCTGGAGGGGGGAGGGGGCTATGGGGCACTATGGGGACACTATGAGCATCT